CTTCAAAATGTAGTGGTTCAGATAAGAACAGTAAGTTATTTTGCCCACGAATCTATAATAGGAACAAGGCTGAGCTACCTGGTGTGGGGCTGGAGAAAAGCCTTTCTAGATGGCCAATTTACGTGACTGGCAAACTGGTGCTAGCTATTTACTGGAAACCTAGCTGGCACTGTGGGCTAGGGGCCTCAGTTGCATTCTACCTGGGCCTCTGCAGGTTGCCTGGGCTTCCTTACAGCACAGTGGCTGGGTTCCAAGAGTGAGTGTCCCAAGAGGACCAGGCTGAATCTGCGTGGCCTTGTCAGACCTAGTCTTGGTGGTCATGTAGCATCATTTCTACCACTTCCCTTCCCCACTTCTGCTCCCTTCCCCACAGACATCATTAGTGTTGGTCATGAAAGCAGGTTAGTCTAGATACAGGGTTTATGGAGTATTTGCTACAATTATGATTTACTTAACCAATCTCCTATTTTTAGATGTTAAAATAGTTTCCTAGTTTTGTTTCTTATGAACAGTGCTATTATGGGCATTCTTACACATAAAGCTCATTTGTTCATCACTTTAAGACAAGTTTCCTGAGACATAAAAGCTGTGTCAGAAGCAAATAACCTTTTTTTTTTTTGAGACAGGGTCTCGCTCTGTTGCCCAGGCTAGAGTGCCGTGGCGCCTAGCTCACAGCAACCTCAAACTCCTGGGCTCAAGTGATCCTTCTGCCTCAGCCTCCCACATAGCTGGGACTACAGGCATGTGCCGCCATGCCCAGCTAATTTTTTCTATATATATTAATTGGCCAGTTAATTTCTTTCTATTTATAGTAGAGACAGGGTCTTGCTGTTGCCCAGGCTGGTTTCGAACTCCTGACCTCGAGCGATCCACCCGCCTCGGCCTCCCAGAATGCTAGGATTACAGGCGTGAGCCACCGCGACTGGCCTGCAAATAACATTTTTAAGGCTTTGAGAAATAACGACTCACTTTCCTACCAGCTGTAGGAAAGGCTGAACATGTCTCTAAATGCTTATTTAATGATATTTCAGATTGTGCTTTTATAGTACAATTAACCTCTGCCTCATGGTTTTTATTTTTTTGTTTTAATTGGTGTCTTATTCCATTCAGGCTGCTATAACAAAATAGCCTGGGTAATTTATAAATAATAGAAATGTATTGTTTACCATTCTGGAGGCGGGAAGTCCAAGATCAAGACACCAGTAGTTTGGTGTGTGGTGTAGGCCCATTCCTCATAGTGTCTTCTATGTGTCCGGACATGGCAGAAAGGGTGAATGAGCTCCCTTGGGCCTCTTTTGTAAGAGCACTGATTCCATACATGAGGCTGTAGCCCTCCTGACCCACTCACCTCCTGAAGGCCCTTCCTCTTAATACTATTACATTGGGGATTAAGTTATAACAAGTGCATTTAAGGGGACAAGAACATTCAGACCACACCAGGCAGAGTCAGAGAATTTTTATCAGCTGAAATGCTTTGATTTCATTTTTTGTTGTCTTTATATGAAATGGCTTTATATGAATAGCTTTATATGAAACTTGCCCTCAGAGTTCTGTGCTTTTTGAAATGTCTTAAATTATTTTGGGTTAATGTGATATTTTTTGTGGAAAAGAGTAGAGGTTTCAGTTGTTTTTAGGGCTCTTGGTTTCTTAGTTGTTCTTTAGTTCCTTTTTTTTGTTATTATTGATGTTTATATATCAAGAAAATTAGCCCTTTATTCATAAAATGCACTGCAAATGTATTCTGTAGCTTATGTTATTTTTTTCTTTTGTAGTGTTTTATTTCCATTTGGAATTTAACATTCTTTTGTATTCACATTTCTCATGCTTTTTTCCTCCTTTCTAATAAGATGTTTATGAACATTTTCCTCATTCTGAGATTTAAAAATACATATATACGTATGTATGTAACTCTATCTCCCATAGCCTCTTCTAGATCTTTGACTCAGTTTGTGTTTGTTTTTTTAAATTTTAGATCTGTCTGAGGTTTATTTTCAAGTAGGACATGAGACAGTCCGCACTATACACATGTACTGTTACTTTTGGTTACATCAGCATTCAATGGGCCTTTCTTACATCACTTTGCGTTTTCAAATTATATTCAGATGCATCAGGTATTCTGTCAGTTTTTTCCTCCTTAGATGTCTCCTGGAGCCCCTGATCAGCTCCAGTATGGGTAGGCTGCCCTCCGTCTGATAAAGGCTGTCACCTTGGAATCATCCTGGGGTTCTTTTTGCCTCTTCCCTGTGTTCAGTATTCTCATCTTTCTTGGTTTATTTCCTCATGGTGGGTGTTGAGGGCATATAGTAGAGTGATGTGATGGTGTGATGAATGGTTTTGGAAAGATGATGACAAGCCAGATAATGAAGAGCGTTGTATGCACGATAAGGAGTTTTAGCTTCATCTCGGTGGTTGCAGTAACTAGTGAATATTTTATAGGTGAGTAACACCATATTTGCTCTTATAGTGGGTCACTGTGGCTGCTCCTTATAGAATGGATGGAAGAAAGGAAGGTTAGATAAAGCCTGTTGCAGCAATTCAGGAAAGATACAATGGTGCATTGAAATAAGGCAGTGATGGTGGGAACATTGTTCTCAAAGAACTGGGGATTAATTGGGCATGGGAAACAGGGAGGAAGAGTCGGGAGGGCGCTCAGATCTCTGAGTTTGGCAGTTAGATTGATGATCCTCAGAGCAGGAGTGTCATGTTTAGGGCAGGCACGGAGTTTAATTTTGGACGTGCTGTGCAAAGGACTGCAGTGTATCCTTTACCCACATTCACCAAATGTTAACATTTTACTATGTTTGCTTTATAATTTCTCTCTCTCTCTCATTCTCTGTGTGTGTTTTCTGACTCATTTAAGAAGTTTCTGTACATGATGCTCTTTTACCTCTAGTTACTTCACCAAATATTCCCCTAGAACTATCCATGAATTTCAGAATCAAGGCATCAAATTGATTCAGTGTTGTCAGCTAATCTACAGACCTTATTCAGATTTTGCTAGCTGTTCATTATGGGAAATAAAACTTCCAGATCTTGAATTGCAGTCAGTTATCATCTTTCTTTATTCCCTTAGAATCTGGAACAGTTTTTCAGCCTATGGCTAGTGAAAATTTGAACGGCTTTGGAATTATGTGTGTGTGTGTGTATGTGGGGGGTGGTGTTGATGTGGGAAGCAGACTTGTGATTGTGATGCTTGGAGTCCATAGAGTGTAAATTAGGATCAGGAATGGACTGTGGGGAAATGGATTTTCTACCGTTTGATGCAGGAAAGGTGGAAACAGATCTCCTACTCCAGGACACAACTGCATTGTTTTTTTTTTTTTTTTTAACTCCAGATGATGATTTGGCTTTGATAATTTGTTTTAGGAACTAGGTAAGACTGATCATTATATATATGTGTGTATCTTTAAATATAAGCATATATTTCTGACTGTGTATATTCTTCCTACCTGGCAATCTAACACCCAATATAAAAGGATCATGGTATGGCAAAAGAAAACTGAGCTTAAGTCTCTCTCTCGAACACAGTGTCATTGTTAGGTGCCAGTCTCCATTAAGGACTATTGAGAATTTATATTCCTGTTCTCTGAAGCTATCCTACTAATAGTATGAGTCTGTAGTTTTGGCTACTTATGTTCATTAAGAGTGTGTGTTTTTGTCTGTGTTTCCTATTTGTATGTCAATAGAGGACTTGGAATGATATACAGGTAGGAGAATGGCTTGAGGCCGGGAGTTTGAGACCAGCCTCAGCAACATAGAGACCCCATCTCTAAAAAAAGAAAGAAAAAGATTAAAAAAAAAAAAAAAAAGCCAGGCATAGTATGCACCTGTGGTCAGCTCCTGCTACTCAGGAGGCTGAGGTAGGAGGATTGCTTGAGTCTAGTAATTCAAGGCTGCGGTGAGCTATGATCACACCACTGCACTCCAGCTTGGGTGACAGAGCAAGAGCCTGTCTCAGGTGGGAGTGGGGCGGGGGTGAGAGGAAAATGACATTATTACTTGTGCTTGTCAGTACTTATTCCTCTGTGTTGTATTATACTTTTCGTTAAAAATGTTATAGTAGTATAAATTTTTTGTGCGTGTCATGTATTGAGTATTATTTTCTTTTATGTCTGTTCAGACCTCAGATGTATAGACTAGAGATACGCTCTCTATATGTGCCAGTTGCTTAGAGATTCACATCTCCATGCAGTTGTGACTGTCAGTCGTGTTATTTGTTGCCATGCTTCCAGTTGTGTGCCTCTGCTGAGGAAGGTTTGTGTGGGATCCAGTGACAGGGAGACTGAGGGGCTGGGACTTCCCCGGCAGGATAGAGGGATCCGGCGTGTGCATAGGTAACATGGCACCCACCCTCTCAGCTCGGGTCTGTGGCAGGGCGAAGCGACCCAGTGCGGGGCTGCAGCCTGGTGCTGTGCTCCCAAGCAGCTCAGTGACAGCAGCAGCGTCTGGACATGACAGGGAAGGAGGGCTCTCTTGACAGACCAGGAGCTGGCAGGCTGCTACAGTGTGAGGCGGGGAGTAAACACTCCCTTTGCACTGGATTCTGAATCCCTCGGGGGGTCATCTCTCCCATAATCTTGCTCCTCCTTGTTCTGCTCCACAGTTCTTCCTGTGAGATCGCCTGTAAGGGTAGGTTCTGGCACCTTTTCCTCAGTATTTCTCCTGGGCTATGCTTTCTCACCCCAAAATTTTTCTTCTTTTTGGGACAATCTGGTGACCACTGTCTCTAGTCAGGCCATCTTGCTCCTTACCTCCCATTTTTCTTTTTAAAATGGGGATAATATTGTCAATTATTTATGGTTGATATTCAGGTTTAAATGAGATAATACACATTAAAAATTTAGTATGTGGTCTGGCACAAATTAAGAGTGTAAAAACAGAGGCTGATGTTATTTTACTTCCTGCCATCTGTTTGATTATTATAATCTGTTCACTCTGAGAGTTGACTGCCCTATTTTTCTTTATGTTTTCTCAAAAAGATTTTTAAATGTCTTCCACAGGATTTTGTCTCCACAATTATCCGTTTACTTGACAGCCCCTCAACTTACATTAGAGCAAAGGCCTTCCTGGTTCTTCTGTATATTTTGATTTACAACCGCGAGATGCTGCTGCTCAGTTGCCAAGCAAGGTAAGATTTTCTCTAATGGTTTCATCAGTAGCTTCGATTTGGTGCCCATTTTATTAGTGGTTGTATTTAATAAGTACATGTCGCAGGGTATTTCTTGGCCTCTGTGTACCCAGTATGGAAATTTTTTTTTCTAAATTTTTCCTGAGGGTTCAGTATTTCACTTCTGATCTCTATTTGGAAGCACTGAGGACCTAGAGGAGAGCTCTGAAACCGAAGCAGGGTGGGAAACGGCTGGCATGTCCTAAACCTGAGGACAATCCAAGGTGGAGTGTTAACTTGGGTTCCGATTTGTACCTTTGGGTACGTTTTGGGGCTCTAGTGGTTTGGTTGTATTTTTTGTTATTGGAAGATTCTGGAAAGAGTGGCAGAAGGCCTGGATAGAGCAGCCTTGTGGGGTAGGAGGAGGGAGGAGCAGGGCAGGGGGCATAAGGTCAGCACATCTTTCTCTCTGGGTCTCAGCTCCTTCCTCTGAAAGGAGGAGCTGTACTGTATGTTCCTCAAGTTCTTTCACGTTTCGATGCTTTCTGAGTAACATCTGAACCCTCTGTTCCACGCTTCATTGACGCCTAGAGGATCGTTGAAAATCTGGTTTAATGTCTGTTTCTAGATCCAGGTTTTTGCTTAACTTAGAATATTGAGCAGAACCCAGAAATGCTGAGATTGATCTAGATTAGGGGTTGGCAAACTTTTTCAGGTAAACAGCTGGAAAGTAAATATTTTAGGCTTTGTGGGTCAAGAGTCAAAATTGGGGATATTATGTGCATACTTACATAAAAAGAGAACATTTTTCACACACTTTTTATTGATGTAATATGTGCTGTTAATATTGTTTTTTGTAAACATCTACTTATTAAAAGAAGGGAATTCTCTTTGGGGAGGGGGATAACATTTTGCTTAATTGGGGGTCAAAGTTATTGTCCCCATCCATCATCAAATCAGTTGCAAATGTTCATCTGTTAGTGCTGATCTTTAATGTGATCTTGTGTGTCTTGTCTTTGAAAATGTCTTCATGCAGGTAAGTACTGCCAAATACCAGTATCATTTCACAAGCATGTGATTTTAATTGAGCATATTTGTCATTTGAAGGGCAATTTGTAGAATTCTGTTAGATTTCTTCTCTTGATATTTACTTTTTATCATGCCATTATGTTAGGTTAATCACTTCCAATTGAAAGCCGTGTGGAATCTCCTAACCAGCCTCCTTGTTTTTCGTTCCTCAGGGATCACTCTCCTTTGTTGTTTTAGTTACAGTGTCTTGAAAACTGATATTTCATGTATTTTGTCTGTTTTTTGGTTGTCTCAGATGGGAGGGTGAGTCCTGTTCCCGCTGGTCCATTATGGCCAGAAGCGGAAGTCGCTCTTGTCTATTTTTAACAGCCTCATCACTGGCTTTACTGCCTTTGATCTCTCCTTGCATTTACCATCACTTTTCACCAGAACAACTAATATAGTTTCCCAACAGATGCTCTGACTTCATCTCTTGTGCTCAGTCTGGTCTCCGTACAGCAGCTAGACTATCTGCACACTGAATCGTGACATCATTTGCTGTGAGACAATACCCCCGCCCCTCACTGTGGCCCGCCTGCTCTGCTGCCTCTAGCTTCTGCCCTCCTCTTAGCTTTGTCCTCTTTATGCTCACTGCATCCCAGCCACATGGTTTTCTTGTTGCTTTTTGAACACACTAAGCCTATTGTGCTTACCTCGGGGCTCCTCTCAGTTACCGTTCCCTGTGCCTGTGATGTCTTCTAGATGTGTGCATGGCTGGCTTCCTCAGGCCATTTTGTTCTCTGTTCAAGGGTTACTTCCTCTGAGAGCTGCTCTGTTCACCCTATCTAAGATACCCCCTGTAATTCCAACTCTAGAAACTCTTTACCTGGAAAGAACTAAGTTACTCAGACCTTCAGAGGCTTTGGGGAATTGCTGGGGAATTGCTTGGAATTCTTGGGGAATTGCTCTCATTGCTGTGCTCTCTGAAGGGGTCCTTAGGGACTTTAGCAGTGATGGGAAGGTAGTGGTCTGAAGATATGCCCCTCACCCTAACCACTGCTTGCTCTTTGGAGCAATGCAACGGGCAGGGTGAGTATGGAGAAGGGGGCTTGGTGGGCGAGCTTAGCCTTGCTGGGGAGGTAACGCAGGCTCCATTCTTCCTGCATGTGTGGCACAGATGGCACCCCATGTGCGGGCCCCTAAGCTGGGGGTGAATAGTAGACCTTGGGACCACAGCAGGGACTACACCCAAAATGCAGATGCTTTCTGTGCGTGGTGGTTGGGACCTGCAGTTCTGTGCCCAGGAGTTCTGGAGCAGGACTGAAATGGTGGGCCAGTCTGTGAGGCTGTGGGAGGATCACCTCACCTTCCTGCCCTGGAGGAGAACAGTGCCCTGTCACCACCTGCTGCTTTGCCACATCTGTTGTGATCAGGTGCTGAGTAGGTTAAGTAGTCGGGAGGCGGGGATTTGTCCTAGGCCGTTTAGGGAAACAACAGTATGTGAAGGAGAAAGAACGGGAAGACCAGGCAGTTCTTACTGACGCAGAACTAATGGAAAAGACAGAAAAGATTTTAACAATTACTGAAAACTCTACGAAGAGGCGGTTTTTTTGAAAGTCAGCAGGAGGACTGAAAGAGAATGGCCTCTGCTAGGGATGGCATTGGTTCTTTGAAAGGCAGTATGAAAGAACACATGGAACCATTCAGAGCTGAATTCCAAGAGGAGGAAAGGAGCAGATGGAGGAGGATTTCTCGCCGAGGACATCACAGCAGTCATCTTCTAGTTGAACGTGCTCTCTTTGGATGCTGTACTCAGAGTAAAGGAGTGAAAAAGCTCCGAACCCACAAGGGCAAAGGGAGGATGGCTAAAGCAGGTAAATGCTGTTGCCTGGTCTTTGTATTTTGGTTTAAGGCAATGTTCATTTATTAATCTGACAGTTTCCACGGGTCAGGAGTCTGGGCATGGTGAAACTGGATCCTCTGCTCACATCTCACATGCTTGAAGTCCAGGTGTTGCCCGGTGCTGTGGTTCTCATTTGAGGGTCCTCTTTCAAGCTCAGTGAATATTGCAGAATTTCCTTACAGCTGTAGGACTGATGACCTCACCTTCTTGCTGGTATTTGGCTTGAATTCTCTCCTAGCTTCTAGAGGCCATCTTTCTTCTTCATTGGAGGTTTATAAACATGGCTGTTTGCTTTCTTCCTGGTGGCCGGCAAGATCGCATCTCATGCCCTAAGTCCCTCTCATACTTCAAACATCTTTGATTTCCTTCTTTGGCTATCAGTCAGAGAAAATGACTTTTAAAGGTCTCTCCCGATTAGATTAGGCTTACTCAAATAATCTACATATCTTACATATGTCAAGGTTAATTGAATTGGGACTTTAATTACATCTGCAAACTCCCTTCACAGTATAGATGTTCCTTGACTTATGTCCCACTGTGGGTTACGTCCCAAGAACCCCATTGTAAATTGAAAATGTCCTAAGTAAAAAATGCATTTAATACACCTGTCCTACTGAACATCATAGCTTAGCCTAGCCTACCTTAATGTGCTCAGAACACTTACATTAGCCTACAACTGAGCAAAATCATCTAACACAAAGCCTACTTTATAATAAAGTATTGAATATCTCATGTAATTTATTGAATACCTTACTGAAAGTGAAAAACAGAATGATTATATGGGTACTCAAAGTATGCTTTCTTCTAAATGAATATTGCTTTCACACCATCTTAAAGTTGTGGGGAAAAAAACTCATTGAAAGCACTCTGGGAGGCTGAGGTAGGAGGATTGCTTGAGGTCAGGAGTTTGAAACCAGCCTGAGTGAGATCCTGTCTCTACTAAAAATAGAAATTAATTGACCAACTAAAAATATATAAACAAAAAATTAGCTGGGCATGGTGGCACATGCCTGTAGTCCCAGCTACTCCGGAGGCTGAGGCAGGAGGATTACTTGAGCCCAGGAGTTTGAGGTTGCTATGAGCTAGGCTGATGCCACGACACTAACTCTAGCCTGGGCAGCAAAGTGAGACTCTGTCTCCAAAAAAAAAAAAAATAAATAAATAAATATAAAAACTCATTGTAAGTTGGAGACTGTTTGTTGAATCTAGATTAGTGTTTGATAATAGCCAGATAGGTGGGATTTTGGGGGGGGAGGAGCATCTTTAGCATTCTCCTGATCACAGTCCCCACAATGGAGGGCTACACAGCTATGAAAAGGCAGAAGGAAGATCTGTATACACAGGCTTAGAGTCATCTCCAAGATATATTTGCTATTACCCTGAAAAAAGCAAGACACATAACAGTATTCATAGCCTACTACCTTTTTGTCTAAGAAAGGAGTTAAAAATGGGAAAGATGTATATTTACTAATATTTTCAAAAAGAAAGAGTGGAGGGTTAAATAAAAAATGAACAGAAATGTCAATTTATTAGGGGTAAGAAGAGAATAGGGGGCAGGGATGAGGTATATGTCTCTGAATGTACCTGTCTTACAGTCTAGACTTAAGAACCATGTAAATGTTTTATATAATTAAAAAATATTATGAAATAAAGCAGTCTCTAAAAATTGAAAATAACCTGAGTGTCAAGTTTGCGGTATAACTCCCCAGAGAAGAGGTATTTAAAAATGCTTTTAAGTCACAGTATTATGGCAGAATATTTCCATCTGAACATATTTTAGGGACCAAAAAAACCCTAGTAAGAAGCCCCAAACTCTGTTCAGTGTTCTTGTTGGTAGTGTTAATATTTATGTTGGTGTATTTTTTATGTATATAGTAAGAGAAAATAAATATGCCAGTTTTAATAGTAACCAAGATTTTCAGAATAAAAGAAAACATGGAATTATAAAATAAAAATTAAGTTAAATTCTGTCATCCTTAATTTGAATTAAAAGTATTAAGATAAACTCATAATTTGTTTTTCTATCTTTTTAAGGAAATATGTATTTCATAGTTTTATCTACTTTTATGAGTCTGCTATGGCTGCCAGAACAGTACCATAGATTGGGTGG